ACAGCTATATGACGGCGGTCTGTAAATAATCGAGTCTGGACCAGATAATCCAGTGATTAATATCATGAGCATCGATCCACGCAATTGCGATCGATGACATGCATCAACCAAGTCAGCGAGCCTGACCACCCAAAACCGTTAGTCGCCTTTTACGACAAGCATAGTCACCTTTTACGGCAAGCATGGGTTGCTGAAGACCTATTCTACCCCGGAATCTTCACGGTCCAATTGTGCCCTTGACAGAGCACACAATAAATATTCATCCCAGTGGGCATCATGGTCTGTTGTACAGGAGCGACACAGATGTTGGCAAATCAGGGACCATAGGAGTGAGTGAGTTGGGTTTAACGCCGCTTGTAACAGTATTCCAGTTAAATCATGGCGTGTCAGTTTAATGTGGGAGGAAAGCCCGAAGTGATGCAGGTCTCAGATGTTTACCACTGCGGTGAAACCCACGAGCAAGGGTATGGTGATGACAAACCTAGAAACATAATCGGGGCGAACCGGGATTCGAACCCACAGGCGTGAGACAGGATGTCCCTCTCTAAACAATGGACAGCTGCAGTGCCTCAGGCACTTCTGGCTTTCAACGAGGCGAAAGTGGCACAGATCAAAGATGTTCACTCATGAAGAACGGATATATTGTGCTGACAGAAGGACCTAAAACTCCCAAGCAAGTAATTCAGGAAACGAAAATATTCTATCACCGTATTTGACGTAATAAGCGACACGGCGATATTTGCTAATTGTTGGCTGGTGAACAATCCCAATTGGCACCTCTTCCGGTTGATCAGTGTACACAAGACTTATTTATTCGTGTGTTATATGCACCAATAATTACGGGCAATTCAATTCTGGAAAAATATGTTTGCTGTGTATAATACGCACAGACTTTTCTTTTGTATCATTCAGGCTGTCAGCATAAACCACGAAATTTACGATCTTTCAACTCTGTTTTCTTTTCCACCGAAATTCTAATAAGAACCCCCTATTTTTAATTTTAAGAGTGCCTGGGCGCTTATTACGTCGAATACGGTAGGTTCTAAAAGACAATTTAACAAAAGACAAATCTTAAGATATTTTAATTTCAGACACATTCTCCACTTCTGTCATTCTGACATGAAGCAATCTTAATGGACATTCTCTTCTTATCATTATCATGCTAAATCTGACATTATTCCACACGTTCCACCATTACACAATCAATACACATGTAACTGAATAAATTAGTTCCACCAAAACAACTTTGTGTATGTTCTGAAAAACACAACAATTGTCAACCAACTAACTTTATTTACTTCCACACATTGCCAACCAGCCAATAGCTAATCATAATTCCACATTCTGTTTCCTTCATCACACTTTGTCATTCAGCGTCCATAGTCTATCAGGAAAGTTCACTGACCTACCACATCTCCTAAAGCAGTTACATTGAGTTGTCAAGACACACTCCAGCTATCTATATTGTCAGATTCACACACTACATCGACCTTCTTCTACAACACATGCATCTGTAGTTAAAAACAACAACACTGACTGACACTAGTTACCCTTTTATCATACCGATTCCTACTGATGAAGTAGCTTTAATCTTTGGTAATCTCATCAACGGGGAGTCGCAAAAAATTCCAGATGCAGTAAAGGCTGGTGATCAACACTCGCAATAATTCCATGGCGTCAAACTTTCCAGATTTACAGTATTCCTTCAAATTTCTAACATTTCTTACTCTTGATTTCTACATGATTTGGCTGGGATGAGTCCAAACTTACTACCCGGGTACCCACCCCCTATTACCCGACCCTACCCGGGTACCCACTGTAGGTCTCAAGGGAGATGTACAAAATGTCTGATTGGGAAACGTTTGACCATACTCCTGTCAAAATAAATTTAGATACATGTATAATGCGATCTGGTCATGCAAACACTGAAATTGACTGAAGTTATATAATTATGCAAACATATAAAGTCAGAAGGAATGTGTGTACAATCAGAAAGACATTTGTCACTTATAGTGTAACCATAGAGATCTAAATATTTTTTGCCATTAAACAATATAATCACGTGACTGACCATGGGTCCGGGTAGTCCTGTGGGTACCCAGGTCCTACTCAGTACCCACCTGACCCTGGTACCCTAGTTACCTGTCCCAGCCTGAGTACAAGAACAACATTTTTTCAACCTGATATGTTGACAGATAGACAGATAATCCTAAATTCAGTATGGAGAGTAATCATTAGTTTGGAATATTTGTCAAAACCATAACAATTCTGTCAATAATAATAATAATTATACTACACTACCACATGCACACGCTCAAAGTCCTGATTCACCAAACACTATTGACTCCAGTGAGTTTGACATGAACAGCTGCATTTGAAGTATGAGACAACATTGAACCACAGTGTGTCTTTGGGTAAAGATGATATACTACTCAAAAGAAGTTAAGGACCACCTGATTCTTTCGTATAATGGCATGACACATTAACTGTAGTAATATGAAAGAGGCGGGTGTCTCTAACTTTTTGAGTACTATATTTGTAACTTCATATTGGAATGAACACATATTGGTAAAAGTAGAACTCCCATAAGGAAGACAATTTATGGATGTCGACTTCTTTATAATGAGGAACACAATGTTTCGGAGTATATACTTATTCCTTCATCAGATGATTTTTTTCACCTGAAGAGTGAGTGAGTGTGGTTTTAAGCCAATTTTAGCAATATTTCAGCAATATCACAGCGGGAGACAACAGAAATTGGCTTCACACATTGTACCCATGTCAGGAGTCAAACCCAGGTCTTCAGCATGGCGAGCGAACGCCTTAACCACAAGGCTACCCGACCACCCCTTTCACCTAAAGGAGTGAGTGTATACTCCGAAACATGTTCCTCATATTAAAGAAGCTGGCATCCTTATATTCCCTTCCTTGTGTGTATCACTTCTGAATGCTATTCAAAGACTTGATATAACTCCCATGTCACATAAATTGCATACACACACTGAAAATTGTATCTTAGTACAAAGGCATTATAAACTAGAAGGGAAGCATTTAGGACCTGATCTTAGGCATACAATTCTGACTAGTAGCAGTCAGTTGAAATAAATGTTGCATATTGGACAGCAGCGGTAACCCGAATCTCCATCCCGGAAAACACATGGCGAGAAAAACACAATAGGACAGCTCATAGTTCTTTGTTGTGGCCATAAGTCAATATCAACACCGTTATTAGGAAGCAGCACAGTGAGTGAGTATGGTTTTACTCCGCTTTTAGCAATAGTCCACCAATATCACGGCAGGGGACACAAGAAATGGTCTTCACATATTGTACCCATGTTGGGAATCGAACCCGGGCCTTTGGCGTGACGAGGTAACACTTTAACCACTTGGCTACCTCACCGCCCCTTAGGAGCAGGACAGAGATACGGTTACCGCAGTTCCCTGTTTGAATCCATTTTAAAAAATCAATGCCTGTGAACCAACAGCTTTTCTCACAAACTTACAAGATTATTAGCTGCTCTTCAAAAAATAATGAAATACTGAAACAGTAGTTAGACACCAGGGTTTGAGATCGGTTCATTTTCTTGGACATTGACTGATTGTTGTCCATATTGTCGGAAGAGGTTAAATCAAATTTGTTACTGATATTGAAGAATGTCATATCAAAAGTTGAGGATATCACGAAACTGCCCTCATGTCATCATTCTTCAGCATAATCAGACATTATGAAGTCGTTGTTCGTGTATCAAGAAATATTTGAAAATGCACGTAATCTTTAAATATGATTTCTTCTAAACCCATGTTACAAATATGACACAGGACTATAGCTTTTACTCCCAGTTCTTTTACATTTTGCAAAACACAAAGAATAGTAGGTAGATATAAATCTCAATGCTGAGTGAACCAATTAACACATTTATATTCTGCCATGGCGAACTGCACCAAAAAACAAAACAATGCTGGGTTGGCGTTATCACCGCCATGTTGGCTAGTCACACTGTTTACTATGGTATTTGGGAGAAATTCAACACTGAAAAACAGACCCACACGCACAAGAAATCCTGTTAATGCCAATGAAAATCAAGGGGGGTAACTCAAGATCACGAGAACCACGGGAATGGAACCAGGGGTTAATGTAGGTTTTACCGAAATGCGAGCCATGGAGATATAGAGGATAGGGGGTTAAAGCATCTCACAAACATTGTCTCATTCACAAACGTGATACATATAGAATGATTGAGTCAAAAACCTCCGGCTCATTGCATAAAACACATAAAACCACATATGTCCCGAGTGATACTGCTTATAATGCTGTTTAAGTTAAATAATAAAAACTATTTAACATCTTTTGTTCATATTCTTGTCAATATTTATTTCAAGTTTTCAAAAAATAATAATGGGCACTTAACCTCAAAATCAACACTTTTTTCATCCTGGCTCTCGACAAAGAAAATCTGTAAGACAGGATATTAAATTGGTCCAGCTTACATGATCTGCTTAATACACTTGAAATATAACATAACATGATCTGATAATGAAACAGTAACAACGTAATCTCCATCATCACATGCTGAAATGCTGAAATGTTAAAAGGGGCGATGATCTCTGAGACTGAGAATAATGTAAATGTCAGGCATTGTTCAATACAGTTTAAATATCGTCAGATCATATGTTTTCGATCGTCGAACGGCCATGTTAATTCGAGAAAGTTGTCTTTTAAAAGTGAATGAGATGTTTTACAGGTGTTCATGTGATTAAGAGAGAAAACTAAGAATGTTTCTTAAGCGTTCGAAAACCCATAACAAGGGGATACAAAATTTCATTAATGACCATTTTTGAAAACATTTCATTTTCTTTTCATTAGCACCACATAAAGTTGTTTGTTGTTTGTTGTTTAACACAGCACTCAGCAATATTCCAGCTATATGACGGCAGTCTGTAAATAATCAAGTCTGGACCAGACAATCCAGTGATTGACATCATGAGCATCAATCCATGCAGTTGGGATACAATGACATGCATCAACCAAGTGAGCGAGTCTGACCACCCGATCCCGTCAGTCGCCTCTTAAGACAAGCATAGTCGCCTTTTACGGCAAGTATGGATTGCTGAAGACTTAGCACCACAAAAAGAAAAGAGTGTAATGGAAGCTGTATGTTCCAATTATTGGGGACATTTTCAAAGCAATGGGCATAATAAATCTCTCCCGAATTCTAGTTTCAGCTGTTGTGTGGATGACTCCAGTTTTCATTTCACTCTAAACCCAATTGATTCCATCTCTACTTGGGTTAAGTAATATAAAAAAATGTATTCTAAATAACAACTACTTTTTCAACTTCCACTTTATGTCACTTGGGTCAGGTAATATCAAAACACATATATCCAAAATAATAACTATTATTTTCAACTTCCACTTTACATCATCAAAGAAACATTTGTGCGTTACAAGATTCATAAACATTCCTATATTGTCATATAATAAGAACAATTCAACAATTAACATGATCCAAGTTTGGAATCTTACACTGAAATAAGACACATGATCTTAATTCCAGGTAAAGGAATTGAAAACATAAATAATTGAAAAACTCTTTATATTTTTTTAGGGATGACAGAGAGTCTTAAATGTAATGTACAAAAGTAAATAAAAATTTAAAAAATATGTTTTATGTATTTGTGGCAAACTGCTTCAAATTGACATAAAACAGGACATGAAAGAGGTCATGTTCTGAAGTGTCGATGGCAGTATTCTTGTCCAGTCATTGACTGCATGCGGCAGGGAGCACCTGTCCTGGTGATGGCCAGACAACGTGATGCTAGAGACGGAGTGGAAGCCCTGTAACAAACAAACTACATACAGAATACATGATATTTGTCCTAGTTTAGACTGATATCTGTTTGCTTTAGATTTTAAAATAACAGAACAGAACAGCCTTGTCTAACACATGGGAGATAACTATTTGTTCGTTGTTTAAAGCTGCACTCAGAAATATTCCAGCCACATGACGCCTACCCGTAAATAATCAAGTCTGGACCAGACAATCCAGTGATTGGCATCATGAGCATTGATCTACGCAATTGGGATACGAGGGCCCCTACCCCCCCCCCCCCCCCCCAATTAAAACCTACCGTGATGACTGGGGTGTGGCTGACATCGGGGTGCGAGATCCCGATGAGAACCTGGCTGGCGAGGACCTGTTTGGCGTGTCCCCTCCAAGGTGGTTCAGCAGCACCCGGCGGACCTGGTTCACCTCCTGTACACACAGACACACAACTGAGCACTTTGTAAGACAATACTGAGCATCTTGTACTTCACAATACTGAACATCTTGAATATCACAATACTGAACACCTAGTATGATACCATACTGAACCTCCTGTATCACACAATACTGAACATCTTGTATACACCATACTGAACATTCTGTAAAACACAATACTGAACATCTCTTAACACAATATTGAACATCTTGTATATCACCATACTGAACATTCTCTAGAACACGATACTGAACATCTTGTTTAACACAATATTGAACATGTCATATGACACAATACTGAACCTCCTGTATGACACAATACTGAACCTCCTGTATGACACAATACTGAACATCTTGTTTAACACAATATTGAACATGTCATATGACACAATACTGAACCTCCTGTATGACACAATACTGAACCTCCTGTATGACACAATACTGAACATCCTGTATGACACAATACTGAACATCTTGTTTAACACAATATTGAACATCTTGTTTAACACAATATTGAACATGTAATATGACACAATACTGAACCTCCTGTACGACACAATACTGAACCTCCTGTACGACACAATGCTGAACCTCCTGTTTGACACAATACTGAACATCTTGTTTAACACAATATTGAACATCTTGTTTAACACAATATTGAACATGTAATATGACACAATACTGAACCTCCTGTACGACACAATACTGAACCTCCTGTACGACACAATGCTGAACCTCCTGTTTGACACAATACTGAACATCTTGTTTTACACAATATTGAACATCTTGTTTTACACAATATTGACCATGTCGTATGACACAATACTGAACATCCTGTATGACACCATACTGAACCTCCTGTATGACACCATACTGAACCTCCTGTATGATACAATACTGAACATCTTGTATGACACCATACTGAACCTCCAGTATGACACAATACTGAACCTCCTGTATGACACAATACTGAACCTCCTGTATGACACCATACTGAACCTCCTGTATGACACCATACTGAACCTCCTGTATGACACCATACTGAACCTCCAGTATGACACAATACTGAACCTCCTGTATGACACCATACTGAACCTCCTGTATGACACAATACTGACCCTCTAGTATGACACAATACTGAACCTCCTGTATGACACCATACTGAACCTCCTGTACGGCACAATACTGAACATCTTGTGTAACACAACACTGGAATTTTGTAGAATTTTCCTATTCGGCATATTCTATAAGTAATACGTTACCACTGTTATACCGAGGCTGTAGTCTCCCACAACTGCTGCTATAGCAAAATCTACCACAGAGATGTCAATGACCTCATGCAGCACGTGCGTAGCCACCTAGCTGCCATGTGACACCCTTCACTCTTGTCTCTTGCGAGAGCAAGTGCTCGGGGGACGGACGGGCGGGCAGCAGCCCAGTGGTAACGTATTACTTATAGAATATTCCGAATAGGAAAATTCTACAAACTACATTAAGTAATACGTTACCACTGTTATACCGAGGCTGACTACCACAGTAGGCGGTGGGGAGCACCTACAACCCGAATCCTGACTGCTAGCGTTCCTTCTGACCAGCGGAAGTAAACACCAAGGCGGAAGCACTCGATGCGCATGCACTTAGCTAGGCGTTACCCTATAGGAATACCAAAGCACTGTCAAGCGCATACCATAAGGCTCAATCGTCATTGCCAAAACAATTGGTGACTCCAAACGGCCCCACTGGATAGGTATTTCATCGCCGCAGCGGATAAGAACACTGTATCCGCGTGAGCTAAATCTTAGATCAGGTTAAACAGTCGAAAGAGGGAAATTAATTTCATTCAGACCGTATATCCCCGAGCAAGCCTACTTAAAGTATGTAATAGGCGCGTGACCTAATTCCAGTATTCATAAGCATGTATCACAGGGTTGGAATACACGACAGACAATTAAATGCATAATTGTCAAAATACAAATAAGGACAAAACACACAAAAAGCCGCCTCACCTGTGGTGTGAGTGAGCTGGTTTGCAGGACCCCCCACTCCTGAACCCACGGCGTGGGAAAATTGGAGACGACCCACATTGACCACCGTGCAAGGACTGACGACTGCGGAGTTTGGAATTGCGCTGGACACACCCCCTAGATGACCGCTTGTGCCGCGATCAATGGCCCAAGACGGTGCACCCCCTCCACGTCTTCATCAGAAACCTTTCTGAGGTAATGATTGGCAAAAACCGAGTCAGAATGCCAGTAACAACCTCGTAATATTCTGTGAACAGAGATATTCGAGTGTAGGGCAAATGTTGCCGCTAGCGCCCTGATCTCGTGCGGGTTTGACCCCGCTACCGGTAACCCCCGAGACCAGTACGCCAGATTGATGACAGAACGAAGCCACAACGCAATCGAGTTGCGAGTTATGTCAACCGTGCGATTAGGGATACACAATATGAACAGACGGTCACGCCCTTGTCTACGTTCATTCGAAGCCTTAAGATAATACTTAAGGGCCCTAACCGGACACAGCGCTCTGTCCTCAGTATCAGCAGGATGTAAGATTTCTTTGAGTGATCTTACAGTGAATTCTCTCTCCGTTTACCCGATTCTCTGATTCTTGGCGACGAAGCCCATGAGCAGGCCCAGGCGGACCGCTCCTTTGTCACCCCTATTGAATCGTACCTTGGCGACATCGAGTGCATGAGTTTCGGATACACGTGCCGCCGTGGCAAAGGAGAGGAGAAATGCTGTTTTCCAAGTCACATGCCGGAACGAAGCACTATGCAAGGGTTCAAACGGAGCTTCCGTAAGTGATTGCAACACTAGGGAAAAATCCCAGGCCGGTGATCGATTGCCCTCGGGTCCGGGACTGGTGATACAAACAATGGGAGTTGATTGTTGAACCGCGTTGCGAACAGGTCGATCATCGGACGACCCAAACGTTCGCACAGCCACTGAAACACTACTGGGTTCAGCATCCACTCTGTGGGGCTCGGATCCTGAGGCCTCGATAGAGCGTCGGCCAGTACGTTCCGCACACCTGGGATGTGACGGGCGCATATCTGGCATGGGACACTGTCCACCAGAGCGTTAAACTCGAACGTGAGATCGAGTAGCGAGTGACTGCGGGTTCCCCCCAGTTTGTTCACATAGGACACTACTGTCGTGTTGTCGGTCGCCAGCATGAGCTGGGCGTCGATGAGACGATGCTTCCAGTGATTGACTGCGTTGATCACTGCCTTGAACCTGAGACAATTGATGTGAAGACCTAGTTCGTCCCCGAGCTCACCTCCCCCTCTAGATGGGCGCCCCAGCCCACTAGAGAGGCGTCTGTATACAGGTTCAACGTGGCCCGGTAGGGCCGCATAGAGACTCCTGATAAGACATTGTAAGGGACCGTCCACCACTCCAGATGCGGTCGGAGCCGATCCGGGAGGGCGACGGTCGCACTGTTCACCTCCGTTGCTAACAACTGGATTAAAAACCGTTGCAGCGGGCGGAGTTGGAGACGACCCCGTTCGGTGCAGTCCTGGGCTGATACAAGTAGCCCTAACAGCTGTTCCCAAAAGTGAACAGTCTGTTGCACCGCTAAGACTTTGGCAATCATCGCCTGAATCTTGTGCCACCGGTCTGGGGGGACAAAGAGGCGATGGGACACCGTGTTGAACCGACCTCCGATGAACTGCAAGTTCTGAGAAGGGGTTAACTCGATCTTGGGGAGATTGATAATCCACCCCAATTGCTCCAAGAGCCGACGTGCGAAAACGAGATGGCGTGACACGGTGTCCGTCATTCGATTTGCTACTAGCGAGTCGTCCAGGTACGCGAAGTAGTGGACACCCCTCCGGTGGAGGAAACCCACTATGGGGGTGGTTAGCCAGGGAGCGGATGAAAGACCGAATGGGAGTACAACCCACTCGTAGTGCCTGCCTTGAAAGACAAACCTGAGATACTTGAGATACTTGTGATGATCCGGGTGAATCGGAACATGCAGATAAGCATCCTTCAGGTCGATCGAAGCGAGCCAGTCGACCATGGATTCCCCGCTGTATCGGCAGGGGCTTGGGCATGTCCTCGAAGAGGTCATAAACCATGGCCACGCGGTCCTTAACCGATAGCGGAAGCAACGGTTCGGGGAGAGGACCGGTAACCACGGCAGCCGCCGCCGTACCGGTGGACCACGCGTCCGAACCCGCGGCCACCGAAGAGGCCGGGGACTGAACAGCCAGCGGCCTATCTTGCGATAAGGCCGCCAGCTTGGAGTCCACAAGTTTAGACAACAATGCGGCGACGGAATCCCCAGACAGCCCGAGGGCCGCAAAGGGATCCGCCGCAGCCGAGGAGGTGGTACCCGCACGGGGACCCCGACCGGACGAACCGGCCACCACAGGGGTGGAGACGGACTGGACGTAGTCGGTAACGCTCAAACTCCGCAGGCCCAAGACCTTCGCACAGGGTGCACCGGGTGTCCCCGCAAGGAACCCTGCACCGCGGGCAACGATCATGGGGATCCCGGGACGACAAGAATTTGCGGCACACTCCGCAACACCGAGGACATTTCCATGTGAGACATGTTTGTTTAATTCTATGAACAAAGAGCAAAACATGGTTACAACGCACGCACCACAATGATTCATAAACGAGCATTTTCACAAGAAAGTAAACGAACAATGTGAACATATAACATACACATATAACATAAAGAGAAATAAGTGATGTTAACCCCCAAAACATACAAGAACTGGGGCAACGTAAAACACAAAGTGCATACGCGAACCCCGCAAGTATAGAGAAAAAAGGGAGGGAAAAATTCTCCGTTTGGCGGGAAAATTATAACCAAGCGTAGCTACCGCAACACCCCATAAAAGCACAGTTTATTAGAGAATAAACTATAATAAATATCACCGAATATTTGAGGAACGCTTCAGCAGAGGATTACACGTCTTGCTACGCAAGCGAAGGAGACAAGAGTGAAGGGTGTCACATGGCAGCTAGGTGGCTACGCACGTGCTGCATGAGGTAATTGACATCTCTGTGGTAGATTTCGCTATAGCAGCAGTTGTGGGAGACAACAGCCTCGGTATAACAGTGGTAACGTATTACTTAATGTAATATGGAACAACAATATTGAACTGAATGTCTTGCATAACATGAGGTAAAATGGGGTTGAAGGTTACTGCACTTGTATAGCGATGTGCACATTTGTGTGTAGCAGCTTGTACTAGTCCGGGCTTGTGCTAGCTCAGTGAGACACTATGACGCAGTTTAACATGGATATCCCACTTTGACACTGAGCTTACCAGTCTTTGTTTCATTCCCATAATGTTGAATGCCAGGCAGGGTAACAACAAGTACCTCCTCTTACCATCGTTTGGTATAACCTGGCTAGGGGATCAAACTACCAACCTTCCACTCTCCGGGCAGACAGTCTATCCACTAGGCTACAGAGGTGGTCTACATCTTGTATAACGCCCTGCACGTACGTACCTCGTTTGTACTGTCTGGCTGTTGCACATTGGTCCTGTGGGTATCTGCGGGGGTCCGGGCTTCGGGGATGGCATCCCCAGCACATGTTGGTGAGGTGCTCTGGTTCAGACTATCAGTCACTGCAACAATACACTGGACACTTTAAAAAAAGGTTGGAGTGAGTGAGTGAGTGAGTGAGTGAGTGAGTGAGTGAGTTTATAAGTAGCCGTTCTGTGGCAATGACTTGGGTTCGCGTGATCACATGTTGTAATGTAGGGATTGACAGATTGTAGTTTATGATGTTAGCGTAGCATCTGAAATGACTTTGCTAAAAAACACTGTTTCTGTTCTGAAATACACAAAAATAATTTTGCAATAAAACACTGTTTCCGATCTTTAATATATGTTGTTTGGTAATACGAGTGAGTGAGTGAGTGAGTGAGTGAGTGAGTGAGTGAGTGAGTGAGTGAGTGAGTGAGTGAGCATGGTTTAACACCGCTTTCAGCAATATTCCAGCAATATCATGGCAAGGGACACCAGAAATAGGTTTCACACATTCTATCCATGACGGGATTCGAACCTGGGTCTTTGGCATGAAGAGCTAATGCTTTATCCACAAGGCTACCCGACCGCCCCTCAAAAGGTTGGAAGTAGCACGTGACAGGAATAGGTGGTGAGGTGAAATGGGGTTTAATGTCGCATCCAAGATTATTGCACTTATATAGCAATGCCCATGTACTTGTTTGTGTGTGGCTACTTGAATTAATTCAGACTAATACCGGTTTTATAGTGCTAGCACACTGAGAAACAATCACACAGTTTAACATGAATACCCACTCAGACACAGTATACTGACTCCGAGCCGGCCAGTCCTTGTTTTTGACCCTTAATACTGAGAACCACGAAGTGTAACAAGGAGTACCATCTTTTAGCGTCTTTTGGTATGGCGTGGCCGGGGATCGAACCCCGGACCTTCCAGTCTCAAGTTGGACGCTCTACCACTGGACAACAGACGCGGTCTGTGACCTGAATAAGTTACAATAGAATTTCCTTTCTGCACATGACATGGAGTGTGTGGGTGAGTGTGTGAGTGTGTGAGTGTGTGAGTGAGTGAATATGATTTTACATGACATCAGTGTTTCAAGGGACCAACCATTCTAGGGGTTGGAAGGATTTTGTATGGAGACTGGATAGTTTTTTAGCTACAGCTGCAAAGCCCGATATGTTTTAAATTGAAACCATTAGCCTAAAAACATTTTGAGGTCTCTGTTGAACCAACATAGGTCATATGCATCATTCATAACAGGAAGTTATGAGATGTACATATTCCACAGGTATTATACATGAGCATAGTGATACCGCGGTAATATAAAGTTGCACATTTTTGGGCCCACATTGATGTATAATAAATGATATGTCAACAAAACAAATAACAGTATACATGGTATATGTATGGCAGATTTAATAGGTCAGTTGATCAATGTGATCGATTATTAATTCTACCATGAATTCGGAAAATACAATTACAGGTTACAAAATGCAAAGTTGCGATTACTACAATATTCAAAGGATGTGTGGCAATACATTTCTTGCAGAAAACAAAAGAAATCTACAAAGAGTATGCATGTTAAGTTAGGTGGACAACAGAGAGCTGGGAATTTTGCGCTTTTCTTTATACGACTGTGACATCATATCCATAAATTCAGATCAACAACCCACTCAAAACCCTTGACTTAACTCATGCCGCTTCACTCACTATATTTGCCAACACCAAAATCTCCTAAACACTATGCTACTCTGCCTTATACTAATTATAGATGGGATTTTTCTTGCATCAAACAAAACTCATTGATTGAGCAAAGAAAATTTGACTTGGACAGTGAAATCTGGCATGCACGCAATACTCACTCGTATTGTACAGCCTGCCTAACGTGGTGGTCAACTGCCTCAGCTCCTCTGATGACAATGGCGCCGATTGATGAGATGAGGATGGGGAGAATGTGATTGCTGCTGCTGCCGCTGACCCTGGTGCCCTGTTGTACTGCAGGTTCCCGCGGATCCAGCTGAGTGCCCAGTAAGCTGTGAGTGAGCGAGTGAGTGAGAGTGAGTGGACAAATGAGTGAGTGAGTGGACAAATTAATAGAGTGGGTGGGTGAGTGAGTGAGTGGACGAGTGAGTGGGTGGGTGAGTGAGTGAGTGAGTTGGCTTTTATGCTGATTTAGCAATATTCCAGCAATATCAATATCAATTCCTGAATCTTGTCAATCACATTAGTGTAAAAAGGGACAGAAAATTGAATGATATAAATGATTTCATTGGATTTATCAAAAAATACAAGATCGGTTTTTTTGGCCTGGATAGGTATGAGGCTGTGTAGAGGCCTATTCCAAAGAATTTTGTATGGATCATTTTCCATGACGCCCTCTACATATTCTGGGTCGTACCATGGATGGACCTCTGTGTCAAAAAAAACCCACAAGCATGGATAAGACGGTAGTAAAACGATTGAGCCACTCGATCATGTCGCTTAAAATATCATTTATGCTAAACTGGGCAGCCATTCACAATGTGTTGGACAGTCTCATTATTCCATACAATTATTGCTGAGAAATTCAAATATATATATGCTATATTCAAAGGTCATCGCCATCTGCTCCATAATATTTTATTTGGAAGTTTTACAACAAATTGCATATAGATATACTTATCCTATCTCACACTATGCATTTTATCCAACTGTTAGACGATTGGGCGCAGATTCCAAAGTGTGTAAGCGACTACAATCGGTAAATTACAGTATGTTGTTCTACAATATTTTGTTTCTGAAACTTCGACAAAAATCTTGAACAACCTCCTGACATTTTCACACCAAGATTGAAAAAAAGAGAAATGCATAGTGTGAGAGGATAAATTTCAAAATTCCATATATACTCAACAACAAAAGTTTCTGTAACACCAATATTTTAGTGTATTGTTCAAACAAGTAAGGTTTGGTTTTCAATATTGTAGTACTTGTATGGAATCAAGTCACAAAAACGCAACTGCTACACATAAGCACATTCCATGCAAAAGTTAACTATTATGCAAGCCCCTTGCGTTTCACTACCCAAGAATGGGTATAAAAACATGTGCGTTAACGGGATTCCATATGCATTGTTTAGCATTGTGCTGACAACAACCACTCAGAAAAACAAAAAAATACGCAATTATTCAACATTACAAAATGCCACACCTGTCCGAAATATGAGCGTCTGCGATCCATTGGTATGTTTGAAGCAGGATCGAGCCCACGTGATGTTGCAAGACAATTTAACGTCCACAGAAACACCATTTGGTGTTTATGTCAACGATGGCAACAGATGAATGCAGTCAGTGACCATCCTCGGAGTGGCAGGCCAAACGTAACCAATAATCAACAAGACAACTGGCTTCGAACAACACACCTACGAAATCGATTCCAGCCACCAACAGTGATTGCATGAAGCCTCCCTGGAGTTTGACGAATATCTTCACAAACCGTACATCTTCACCTCAGATGTGCAGGGACTGTTGCCAGAAGACCCGCCAGACGTCCCATTTTGACAGGAAACCACCGTCTAGCACGTCTACAGTGGTGCAGGCAGCGTCTACGCCGGAAAGCCATGCAGTGGGGACAAGTTCTATTCACTGACGAGTCTCGTTTTCACCTCAGCCACAGAGATGGACGGATTTGATTGTTCTGACGTCGAGGTGAACGTTACGTCAATCATTGTGTCATGGAAGAAGATCGGTTCGGGGGCGGCAGCGTTATGGTATGGGGTAGGATTACAGCAAGACAGAGGACCCGTTTGATAGTGGTAGAGGGAAATCTCAATGGACAGCGCTGCCGTGACGAGACCATTGACCCTGTCGTTCCACCTTTTTCGCATCGTCATGGCCCAGGCATTACCTTTCAACATGACAACGCCCGGTCTCATATTGCTCGACTTGTTCAGGATTCTCTTCAACAAAACACAGTGAATGTTATCCCCTGGCCGGCTTGCTCCTCTGATCTCTAACCAATCGAGCACATGTGGGATGAGATGGATCGGCGCCTTCAACGTCAACCCCGTGTTCCACAGACACTCCAGGAACTTCGAAACATGCTCTAGCAGATATGGACAGATATCCCCCAGATCTTTGTGCGACGCCTGGTCCATTCCATGAGACAAAGATGTGTTGCTTGCATCGCAACCAGAGATGGACACACACGCTATTGATTTGTGAATTGACATTTTGGCATGTTCATGTTTTTTTATGAAATCACGCATTTTCTGAAGTCAGTATAGCAAATTAAACCTTTTATCTGTTGCAAACCAAAATTGTTTCAGATTTGGTAAAAAACATAACTTTGCATTAAATCATATCAGAGCTCCAGATAAGCTGCGTATCTGCGTGAAATACGCATCAGAAATGCAGAAATACGCAGTAAAATATAATCCAAGCGTATCAAATACGCAACAAACATTACAGATACGCTACAAAAATAATACTTGTGCGTATCATCAAAATATTGTGAAGTACCCCTGTGTATTCGATTAGCAAATCAGCAACTTATTTTGAAATTATAAACGGGCATTCCGTCAACCTTGCCAAACTACACGATGACAGTTAGATCATAATCATTTGCCATCACACTTTCGTGTGGAAGTATTGCGGTATTTTTGAGTCCTATAAAGCTCTCGAACCCACACGACACCAGTTTGCAGGGACTAGATGAATAGTGTTTAACTTAAATACCCACATGTGTAAAAACTAGTGGGTAACAGAAATTTGAATACGCAGATAGAATTACTGATACCCAATGATTTTAAAATGCATGGGTAAAATACCCACAACACCAAAAGCTTATCTGGAGCTCTGTCATATTCAATGTCACAGGAAGGTTCGTTGTTCAGTATATTTCCCTGAGAACTTTCCTGTCTGGATTAACAGAGTTTCAATGCATTCTTATTGTGATCACAAAAATTGTTGGGATTCCATGTAGGGATAGATGACCCAGCATTCAATGCTTGTCGAAGACGGTACTAAATAGGTTGTGTGGTCAGGTTTGGTAAATGGCATGGTATTGCATCCCAATTAAATGAAATGATGCTTATGACTGACGAGTTTGGTCCAGACTCGATTATTTACAGACAAGAAGAGGCAAGGATCAACAGCATCCACAAGAGGATCTGTAAACCAATACTGAGACAGCACGTGCTCAAGCGTGAGTGAGTGAGTGAGTGAGTGAGTGAGTGAGTTTAACGCTGCTGTTAACAGTATTCAAGTTACGTCACAGCGTGTCAGCATAATGTGGGAGGAAAGCCAGAAGTGATGCAGGTCTTAGACGTTTACCACTTTGGTGAAACCCATGAGCACAGGTATGGTGCTGACAAACCTAGAAACATAATCGGGGGGAACCAGGATTTGAACCCACAATCATAGGTTTCTGTTGTGCCCAAGGGACGCAACTCTGCACAGCAAATCGTGGCGCCTTAGACAACTGTGCCACCCATGCCCCCTGCTCAAGGCAGAGGTGAGCAGGTAAGGGTTTGGGACATGCTGAAACGGACGCACCTAGCGGTGACTTCAGTGTTGAAGACCTACGTCTCTAAAGATGAGTTGCTTCATGCTCCAACCTCAGACTGCATTATTTACAGACCGCTGTCATATTGCTCTGTGTGGCGTTAAACAATAAACACACAAATGTATTACAGAGCTCCAGATAAGCTTTTGGTGTTGTGGGTATTTTACCCATGCATTTCAAAATCATTGGCTATCAGTAATTCTATCTGGGTATTCAAATTTCTGTTACCCACTAGTTTTTACACATGTGGGTATTTAAGTTAAACACTATTCATCTAGTCCCTGCAAACTGGTGTCGTGTGGGTTCGAGAGCTTTATAGGACTCAAAAATACCGCAATACTTCCACACGAAAGTGTGATGGCAAATGATCATGATGTAACTGTCATCGTTGAGTTTGGCAAGGTTGACGGATTGCCCGTTTATAATTTCAAAATAAGTTGCTGATTTGCTAATCGAATACGCAGACTTACTTCACAATATTTTGATGATACGCACAAGTTTTATTTTTGTAGCGTATCTGTAATGTTCGTTGCGTATTTGATACGCTTGGATTATATTTTACTGTGTATTTCTGCATTTCTGATGCAGATACAGTTTATCTGGAGCTCTGTGTTATCAAAATGCCAATAAAATAAAGTACAAAAGAAATGTGTAGATACCCATAGATGTTGAGAAGATGAATGCTGTCATGCCGGCGAAGTCTAGGCTGGTGCTGTAGCTGATCTCTGCGGCAGCGTTGGAGACAATGACGATCAGGAGGAGGAAGCGAGAGAAGAGAGGAAGATGGAGGAATGCAGCGGCTACCACCATCAGCAGGAAGTAAGCGATGTGCAGGACGCAGCTGGTCAACAACTGCAGCTTGTCATCTAACCAACACAAAACATCGAATAATGAAGGAAATGTGTCTAGGCAAAATGAGTGAATGAATGTTGTTTAATGACAGTCAGAAATATCCCAAAGATATCACAACAATCTGTAAACAACAGGCCCATAGAGCCTAAATCGCCCACCTGGATATTTACGCAATCATGACAAAATATACATTTGCATTGTACATGTATATAATACTGCAAATATTTCGTAATTTTGACTCTGTCAGCATATAAAAGGAGTGAATGGCAAATCTAACAGCATGAACTTGTACTCCTCTAGATACAAATGTAGCATAAAGATCTGAACCGTTTCCGTGTTATGATCCAGGATGTAAGTTTCCAGAGGCAAGGCTGGACCCCAGGGCGAATCCTATTGGCATAAATGTATTATTTTCTTCATAACAAACAAATGTATACATTGTATCTGTTTATTATAGGGTGGGGATAATATCGTTTTGCATGGTATGGTCAAGGTTCTAACTCCTTTTGGAGTGCCGGACAGATGAACAGTAGGGCCAGTCCTGGTAGCATAGATGTATTGTCTAATGAAGATGAGCATGGGTATATAGGATGGGGATTTTGATGATCTTTTATTTTTAAGAAATTATGACCCAAAGTCCCTTTTGAGCCGGACCCCTGGGGTGGCAACAGACTCCAAGGCAGATATTGGTAACATGAATGTATTTGTGTTATGATGTCAAGTATATGTACATATAGATTCCAAGTTGGATTCAATTTCTCCCATTGGGCCCCGCTCCATCTATACAATGACGAGTATCACTCCAGAATTACCCTTTTTAGCCCGGCCCCTCAGTCCCCATCATTGGAGAATGCTTCCAACCAAATATGGTTGATATCTATCTCTTAGTTCCAGAAAAGAAGTCGTTGAAAGCAGTAACGTCAAATGACCCCTATTTCGCCCCGGCCCTCAGCCTCTTGAGGGTGACCAGTATCCATTTGTACAATTTTGAATCCTCACCACCGGAGAATGCTTCCAACCATATATGGTTGATATCTATCCTTAGTTCCAGAATGGAAGTCGTTTAAAGCAATACAGCTAAATTACCGTTATTTGGCCATGCCCCTCAGGCCCTAGGGAGGTCAGCCACACCATTTGTACAATTTTGAATCCTCACCACCGGAGAATGCTTCTAACCAAATATGGTTGATATCTATCTTTTAGTTCAAGAGAAGAAGTCGTTCAAAGAAATACAGCCAAATTACCCATATTTGGCCCCAGCCCTCAGTCCCCAGAGGGGTCAGTGCTACCATTTGTACTATTTTTAATCCCCACCACCTAGGGATGCTTCCAGTCAAATTTTGTTAATTTCCAATTGGTGGTTCAGTCGTTTGAAAAAATTGTTGATGTACGGATGCCATGGTATGGCATAAGGTCACCTAATAAGCATATAATCAAACGTGGAACAATGAACAAGGAAGAGGCTGAGTAATATCTCACTGATTCTGGTATATACTTGAAATAATGCCTCTACTTGAATGGAAATACTAAATGTCAAAATTCTGTCCTTGTATAAATGTTTTCACATAGTGTTTGTTTGTTGCTTAATGCCACACTCAGCTATATTCCTGCTATATTCCAGCTATATGGCAGCGGTCTGTAAATAATCAAGTCTGGACCAGACAAACAAGTGAGTGTCATCATGAGCATAGACAAACGCAATTGAGATACGATGACATGTATCAACTAAGTCAGCGAGCCTGACCACCCAATCCCGTTAGTCGCCTCTAAAGACAATTAAAGTGGCCTTTTACGGCAAGCATGGGTTGCTGAAGACCTATTCTACCCTGGATCTTCAAAGGTCTAAGATACTCATGACTGATAAAACTGATGCTAACTTGTCAGAGTGGAAAACATGGTCTAAGTGCGAAGATCAGTCAGTGGAATAAGGCCCAGAGATCTGAGCATATACAGCCTAGCAGTATTTCAGAGACCATGGTCATATCAGGCGTATCAGCTTGATGTGGGAGGAAAGCATGAATGGAAGCAGATGCTAGAAACTTATCACTTTGGTACAAATACAGATATGGTGTCGACAAACCTGGAAACATTTTCAAGAAGAATCAGGATTTGAACGCGTGATCATAGGTCTTTGGCACTCCAAAGGGACTCAAGTATCACAGCAAATCCAAGTCCAGGAGTGAGTGAGTGAGTGAGTTGGGTTTAAGGCCGCTTTTAACAGTATTCCAGTTATATCGCGGCGTGTCAGCTTAATGTGGGAGGAAAGCCCTAAGTGATGCAGGTCTCAGACGTTTACCACTTCGGTGAAACCCACAAGCAAGGGTATGGTGCTGACAAACCTAGAAACATAATCAGGGCGAACTGGGATTCGAACCCACAATCATAGGTTTCTGGCGTGACCAAAGGACGCAACTCTGCACAGTGAATCGCGGCGCCCTAAACGACTGGGCCACCCATGCCACCCCCAAGTCCAGGACAAGTGTAAACATTATTTTACTGGTCCTCAAGAGTTTCTAGCTGGTCTTGCATGAACAAGACAAAAATGTTCACTATGTTTACATGTTCTGTCAGTTTTATTCAGTTCCAATTTGAGGCAAAATTGAAGCATTGAGAAATGGTTCACAATTACAGCCATCAAATGCTGCCAGAAATGAGGGCTACTATCTATGCACTTTCACTTGTCCTCAGCACAATTAAGCAGTAATTTAGAGCTACAGATAAGCTGCGTATTTACGTAAATTACCCCAAAAAATATTCAAAACCCAATTACTTTCAATTAACTTGCGTACAGAAACGCATGCATTAAATGACAAACTCAAATGTATAATAACAGCATGCATAAATACCCAATGAAGCTTTTTTAGCATGCGTACAATGGAGCTAATTTCCGAAACACAATTCAAGGTAAATTAATTTCTGAGTCATAGTCATAGCCTATAGTTAGAACCCTTATATACATCTAAAACATTATTATTATTATTTTGAAATTTCAATAAGTTTACTCATTTTGGGAAAAAACCAATAGAGTGATGAATAGATGAGTGAAAAAATATTGGTTACCCAATGAAAAATGTAAGAACCCAAGTAAAATAGAAACCTTCGAGTAAAAACTCAATTGCTCAAAAAGTTATCTGGAGCTCTGGTAGTCTGAGGCTAGTAGGGCTGGGACGAGTCCAAATTTACTACTACCCACGCCGCTATTACCAGACCCTACCCGGGTACCCGCTGTAGGTCTCAAGAGATGTGCAAATGTCCGACTGGGAATAGTTTGACCGTAGCCCGGGCAAAATGTATTTGGAGAACGTATAACACGATCTGGTCATTCATACACTGAAGTTGACCGAAGTTTTATCTTTCTGCAAACAAATGACGTCAGAAGGCATGCAAACATTAGACACTTAAAGTGTAACCATAGATTTCTAGATAATTTTTGTCATTAAACAATACATCACATGATTAACCACGGGTCCGGGTAGTCCTGTGGGTACCCGGGTCCTACTCAGTACCCACCCGACCCGAGTTACCCGTCCCGGTCCTACAGGCTAGCATGAACTTTTTAAAAGGTATGGACAACAACTGACCTGCTCCCCCCAGCAGCTGGGAGATCCAGCCTATCTTCCTCTCCATGTTCTCCTGCATCTCGGCCACGGACTTCAAAAGGCAAGTCACCGTCTTGTTGATCTTCTGCAGGTTGGAGAACATCTCCTGGTAGTGGGTAGTCATGTTGCTGTGGCTCAACAGCAGGTGCTTGGTGCTGGAGTCTGTAACCATGGCAACACGACAGATTACAGACAAGGCAGAACAGAAGGTGCTTGGGTCTGTAACCATGGCAACAGAACAGATTACGGACAAGACTGAGCAGAAGGTGTTGTGTGCTAGGTGACTGTAACCATGGCAACAGGAGTGATTACAGACAAAACTGGACAGTAGGTGCTTAGGTATGTAACCATGGCAACATGACTGATTAGCGATGAGACTAGAAAGTGCTTAGTGCTTGACTCAGTTACTGTGACAACATAACAGATTACAGACAAGACACGACAAAAGGTTTTTGGTGCTGGAGTCTTTAACCATGGCAACAAGGAAATATTTTGTCACAGGCTTGTTGTTACATTGTTTCTGGAAGACAGATGTCTCATGTCAGAGACGTCAATAGAGTTTATTTGTGAATGCTCATGACAAACCCTTGTAGAGAACATGTGATTGTAGATGATATTATTTTTATTGATGGTATAGAAATTCATCTTGGGGAATTAGGCGATAAATCAACTGAAAACATTTTGTGTAGAATGTGACAATACCAAGTTTATCAAAGGCATCCTTGGCTCTGTTGCGGATGTTCTTGAGATCCTCCAGGATGGTCTGATGGTTTTGTCTCTGGGCAGACTCCTGGTCCTGTAGCTGCTCACGGGTCAGATCTGTCACATAGATCATCATCATCATCATCATCATCATGAAATAGATGCTACAAACTACACTAGGAAGGGCTGGTGGTTCTGTCTTGGTGTGAAACTTTCCACCAGACACAAAAATCCCACAAATCACAGTACCATTGTATAGAGTTGAGCACAACAGGTTTTGAAGCAACACTAACAAGGAGTTTGATCTGCCATAAAGTTTTAGCCTATGATGGAGATGCTGTTCATTTCAAGAGCAAAAGTATGCAAGACTAGATCTACTTCTAGAACCCTGAAAAGATGATTTTTGTCTGATTGAAAGTTTGAAAACCTGTTAATATCCCCATCCTCAAATTTAAAGAATCACTACTTTGTATCCAACATCGAACATTTAAACTGCTCAAAAGAGTGAAACATGAGAAGATGCAGCCTCTTTATGGTTATGTTCTTACTGTAGTATTAACTGTAGTATAGACCAATTTGTAATTAATCAGTATGAGTGCCTTTGTCAATCTGGGGATGCTTATTTTGGAGAGTACAGAAACCATTAACAGATCAAATACAAAATTAGCATTTCTGACTAAATGCAATGTTTTAAACTTACCTGACGCTACACAGTGCTTTAGCTTCCCTACCTTATACAAACAGACAGTACTGGAACGAAGAGACAGTTTAGCAGACTACAGCCCGTGCCTAGGCATCCACGAGTTATCCCCCTTGGCCCCTACTCCTCATATTCTTCACTGGATGACATCGGACGTAAAGTACACAGTGGTGCTAACGTTAAGGCAGAGGAGGAGGATGGAGTCCGGGTGGGCTTATAGGTGTAGCGTCAGGTAAGTATAAAAACACCGCATTTAATCAGAAATGCTCATGTTTTACCTTATTCAAGGCTACCAACAGACTTAAAGGCAAATCATCCACTTTCAAGTCCTTTTCAACATAATCAAGGGAGAAAAAACTTTCAAGGACTTACGAAGCCAATAGAAATGAAATCCTACCAAGTTCCTGTTTAATCTTCTGGGTCATGCCTGCTAGCTCCTTGTTCCCGGTCGCTATGAGGGACTTCTCCTTCGTCAGCTCCTGGATGTTGTCCTTGATGTGTGTGAACACGCCCTCCTGGGCTGACCGCAGGCTCTCATGGGTGATGAGTAGTTCCTGCTGACTCTCAAACAGCTTCCGTATCGTCTCGGTGGTCATCAGGTGAAGCTGTTCCTGCCCATCCTGAACATACCACCAGTGTCGATTAAATGATAGGGATGTGTATGGGCAAAACATTTTTATTGCTATATTTTGCAATTCAGGTTTGTTTGTTGTTTAACGCACTCAGCAATATTCCGGCTATGTGACGGCAGTCTGTAAATAATCGATTCTGAACCACACATTCCAGTGATTGACATCATGAACATCGATCCATGCAATTGGGATCGATGACATGCACCAATCAAGGCAGCAAGCCTGACCACCCGATTCCGTTAGTCGCCTCTAACGACAAGCAGTCGCCTTTTACAGCAAGCATGGGTTGCTGAAGGCCTATTCTACCCCGGATCTTCACGGGTCTGTAATGAAGGTATCTTCATACGTATTGCGATATACTGGGATAGTCATGGATGCAGGGGAGATAACATTGAGAGAGAAAAAACACTTCCGAGTTTAGCCAACAGGAGTTAATGCATGTCATCGTATCCCAATTGCGTATATCAATCAGGGGCTTGTCTGGTTCAGATTGCATTATTTACATCCAGCCGTCACATAGTTGGAATAGTGCTGTGTGCGGCATTAAACAACAAACAAACAATCGCAGTCAAGATAACTGGGCCCCGCTCCTCAAAGCGATCTTAGCGCTACAATGATCGTAAGCCTATGTTAAAGTATGGGACTTACGATCACCCTAGTCCTGAGATCGCTTAAAGGAACGGGCCCTGATCCATAAGTCACCCCTTACACCCAGCAGAGATTGCTGGGGACTAATGGTGAACCGGAACCCCCTTGGGGTAAATAATTTGTTAACATGCTCACCTTGAGTTCTTTCATGACCACGGTCTGACCATGAGCGCTGGTCATCAGGTTGTTGACCGTCTTCTCCGTGAGGCGGTGAAACTGGGCCTGCTGAGCCTCATAGCACATGGCCCGGGCTCGGTTACTCACGATCTGGTACGTGTTCCACGTCGTAGTGTCCATTGGCTTTGTACACTCCGCCAGAGTCTGGAAAGAGATTGCCATACAACTTCATAAAATTACCTGAGTTTCACTGCCTATGAAATCTCTGAGGCATGAGCATGACTCTCAGTGAATCATTGACCGAACATAGAAATTCATGTTTCATTAGGTGAGGTATGAAACTGAACAACAGACTTCATAATATACAGCTATAATTGACCAGTCAGTATCAGTTGGATAATTAAAGATTTTAGAATTTGAAAAACTGGACAAATTATGACATTTGTATATCTTGCTTCACATATTGTAAGCATTAACCCTCCAATATTCCAGCATTATAAAGTCAGTCTGTAAACAACAGCCTTGACAAGACACACCAGTGCCACAGTGGGGTGAGGTGAAATCGGATTCAACATCTTGTTCATGATCATAGGGGGGCACGGGTGGCCCAGTCGTCTAGGGCGCCGCGATTCGCTGTGCAGAGTAGCGTCCCTTGGGCACGCCAGAAACCAATGGTTGTGGGTTCGAATCCCGGTTCACCCTGATTATGTTTCTAGGTTTGTCAGCACCATACCCGTGCTCGTGGGTTTCACCGAAGTGGTAAACGTCTGAGACCTGCATCACTTTGGGCTTTGCTCCCACATTAAGCTGACACGCCGTGATGTAACTGGAATACTGTTAAAAGCGGCATTAAACCCAACTCACTCACTCACTCATGATCATAGCACTGATATAGTGATATGCAGGCACGTATGAGTGTCCCCTTGTACCATATGTACCAGCTGGTTTTATAGGGATCAATTTGAAACACTGGTTAAACAATATCCCAGAAAGGCCAAAGTGTCCTTGTCATAATCCTACAGCTAATCGTTACCATCTTCATCAATCTTGATCCTGGGGGTGACGGGTGACGGATCTACCACTGACTGTACTACAGCAGGGTATCCACAGCGACATCAGTTTAAAATTCCCTGACAGATTTCACTGATCAATCTTAATTCCAAAACAAAATACATTAAGTGATTAACAACCTCCCTCCTCCTGTTCCACTGAATTTACTCAACATAAACATGATAAACCAAGAACAGCATACACATTAACATGGAAATGACTGGTTGTCAATGATGAATAGCAAGATTACTTTATACATGTTATAAGTGATAGGCGAGTTCTTAAATTCAAAGATCTACATGATAAAAACTTAACAATGGAACACTTAAAAACATGGTCAATAGTTTTCTTTCATTAGAACTTTACTGACAATGTGAACAGTCTGAAGAGAACTGCAAAAAGATCACTTCCTACATTTGGCTGTTCTCTTTGACAAAGACAAACACACGATCCACAAAATCCATGTTTCCCTTACTAGGTGTTAGTCTAGATTGTCACTAGTCTCGGACAGACTTGTGTACTGACTTCGAATCAACCAGTCCTTGTTTTATTCCTGTTAATGCCGGGTGGGTGGCATCAGCATGATCAGGAACCATCTTTTAACATGTTTCATGGTTTATTGGTATAACACAGCCGGGAATCAAACCAGAAATCTTCAGTTTATCCAGACAGACACTCGATCCACTAACACATGTTGAACATGGTCATTTGCTGCTATTGCTAGGCCTTGCTTCTTGTAACTTTGACATGAATGTAGCATCTCTGCAGATGAAAAACACCAGGAACAGCCTTTTAAGCAGATGTATTTTCTACTCGTTGGTTTGAAATACTCAACATACTGGACCTAAGGGAGTAAACATACTGAATGCCCAAAGAAAACTTTCAATCCCCAATGTGTACATAATAACACAGAAGAGGTCTTCAGCAACCCATGCTTGCCGTAAATGGTGACTATGCTTGTCGTAAAAGGCGACTAACAGGATCGGGTGGTCAGGCTCGCTGACCTGGTTGATGCATGTCATCGTTCCCAATTGCGTGGATTGATGCTCATGATATTAATCACTGGATTGTTTGGTCCAGACTCGATTATTTACAGACCGCCGTCATAAAGCTGGAATATTGCTGAGTGCGGCATTAAAAAAACAACCAACCAACCAACCAACCAACCAACCAACCAACCAGCATAATAACACGTCAGTACACAGTGGCTTGAAACATTATCTTGAACTACTACAAATCTCACCATGGAGTTGGAGCAGGGGAAGACGGGTCTCTGCTCGGCCTCGGACTGACAATTGAGGAGCTGCACGGCTAGTTTACCCAGCTCCTCTTCTGACAGATCACCACATTTCTTCCTCAAGTTGAAAACAACCTGCGAATGAATTAATATTATTTGAAACAACATGCAAATGGTATAGCATACCAGAAGAAAGTTGACTAGACTCAGGTTTGGAAATTTGGCTTAAGTCATAGACGTATATAATTGTGTGTGGTCTACACACAACCAAGGACAAGCTTATGCTGATTGTGGAACATTTCTACACTAATCTACTATCAATGGGTATACCAATCACACACACGTTATGATAGCATGATGGAAAAAATGTGGAACAAATTACAAGAAACAGTAATGTGTATCACAAATTTAACAGGTTGGTTAAAGTTAAACTGTGACAATGTGATCGATATAAATTAACTGCCACAATAATTTGTAGTACACCATGCTAAATGGTAGCATGGTATGTTATATTTTCACTGTAGTAAATTTGTAATGGATCATTTAATGGCTCAAGCCTACTAACCGATTAAATGCCATGCGCAAAATGAATCTTGTTTTCTCTTCAACTTTTATGACACATCAATTAGGATTGACCAATGCTGATTTTTCATTTGCGAGATCAGTAAACAAAGTACCTGTCATTAGGGACTCATGGGCGGGTAACTCTATATTATTGTGGTATCACAATGTAGTGGTGTGATACTTGTGGTATATGTGCTTTACATCACTTCCTGTTTTGGATTATGCATAATCAGTATAATGATCAGTATGCATATGACCTATAGGCACTCACTCATATAGGTTGGCTCAAGGGACATCGTCCAAACAAATGGGTTCTTTTCTAACCAATTTCGAAAAGAGGTAGGGGTAATTCCACTTCAAAAACATTCCAGAAACTATCATAAAAAGTTAACGTGTATGGTTACGAGTAGCCGTGACATACCGCAATGAGTCCTGTACTCGGTCATGCGATGAAATATCTCACTCAGATTTGGCTGTTGCATTAGTAAGAAGTCGACAGGGGATGTGGATTACGAGATTTACTGATAATATAGAAACCACCATAATATAGAGTCAGACAATCATTCGGTCGAACTTGGCATAAGAACATTGTTCCTAAACAGTGCTTGAGTTTGCTTATGTTATCAACCACTGGTTTGTCTGGCCAAGACTGAAAATATTACCATTAACTCTGTTTTTTATTTTCAGTAATAAACTGTTGAAACTTGATTATATTTTGTTGCGAATCACCTCTCTACACCCAACGAAATGAGGTCATAAAGCACAGACGGAGGGACCCTACACACGTTCTTTAGTATTTTCGACATCAATATCTCCTTGATCATGTTGATAAAAGAATTATAACGCAAATTCATGAAAATATTAGGTGTCTAAAGCCTATCCTGTTACATTACCATCAACTCTGATCTAGTTCACACAATGCCGACTGTTGTGCTAGAAATCTGACCACAAGTGATAATAGCATATTATTTCCTCATCTAAATGGTAGCTAAGAATAAGATCGATATGTTACTGTTCACAATGCTTCGATGTTCCTTTAGAAATTAGATTAATAATTTACAGATATATAGAAATTCCTCAAACAAGTGTAAAATCCTGCTAACTGTAATAACGAAATAAAGTGACGGTATTGTACTCACTATCTGGTTACATGCATCAAGTGTGGATAAATCCTTTAAAGTTTTGGCAAATTCAAGAAAATGTTCGTCTGTCGAGATAACTTCAAACCTCGCGCCTGAACCTTGCTTCACGTCACCATTTTCTTTCTTCTGTGAATCGGATCCAAACAACCATTCCAGAACTGACTGGGATGGGTAAATTGTAAAATATAGCGTTAATATGAAATAAATTAGATTAAAAGGTCGCCACATATTCACATTCTGTACGAACAGGCGACGAATATAAAACCGGAAGTAGAATTCGAAAGGTCCTCACTTGAGATGTTGGCAACTGTTGATTGGTTAAAAATCGTTAATGACAACCGATACTTTTTCGCGCTTATTTTAAAAAGATAAACACACGCCACGTGTTTTGTACTTATTTATAAACACTTGAGTCTGATTGGTATGTCTATCATTTGAGTTGTTTAAACACAAACAAAACTTGATTATATTCGATGTTAATGTAGATCGACGCTCATGATGTCAGTTCCTGCAACGACTGTCTGGTCCAGATTAGATTATTTTAGAGACATCCGTCATAGAGCTGGAATATTCGCGAGTGAAGCTATAAACAACAACCAAACAAACAAATACAACTTTACAAACCAGGGGCGAAACTACATTGTAGCAGAAACACCTTTTAAAAAACACATTTATTTTGGCACCTAAAAAAGCACAATTTTTTTTCTATAAGTAAGTAAGTTTCTATGTACAGTTTGAATTAATAATTTACTGTATATACAGTTTTTACATTAAATAAGCCGAACATATTTATTGTCTAAATTATTTTCATTATGATGATATGTCGACTCGCTTTAAGATATGAAACAATAAATATTCATAATATATACTACGAATGAACATAATAACAACGCATAAAAGTAATATTATTTAATATTCAAATTTCATTTGTCATCACAGATATGTTTCTTGAATGAAAGTCGAATATGTGTTGGTGAAACACACACACACACACACACACACACACACACACCACACACACACACCCCCACACACACCCCACACAAACACACACACACACACACACCCCACACAAACACACACACACACACACACACACACACACACACACACACACACACACACACACACACCAACACACACACACAGATAGATAGATAGATAGATAGATAGATAGATAGATAGATAGATAGATAGATAGGTAGATAGATAGATAGATACATAGATAGATAGTCTGTCTTACAGACACATGATACATTTATATCAACTACAGCCCATGCAAGTTTATAATGTTTGGCAAGTCTAGATTACTGCAGTATCTGAAAATGAAGACAATCACTGGGCTCCCTTTTTATTAGATTTTTATTAAGATAACGTTACTGAACAACTGTTTTTTTCTGTACGATATGTTCATTTCAGAGACTATATGTTAGTCTAATAGATAGATAGATAGATAGATAGATAGATAGATAGATAGATAGATAGATAGAAAAGTCCAAAGATGAGCTGTATAATTTATTACCCACGTGGTGAAGATACAGGTGGTATTTTAAGATACTAAATCCGTACGTCACACGTGTGTCGTACAAGGTTGACCTTGTTTTATTCGTTTTGATTAGATAACCGTGACCACACCGGGGCTACTTTTTTCATTCATAAAAAATAGCGAGACGTCATTCATTTTGCAACTACAAGGCAGAACTGAAGCAATCTCATGTGAGCGAGAGATATTAACAAACACTTTATTAAACCAAACAAGAAAGTCACACGCATCAAATTCGGTTTGCATCCTATATAAGTTATGCATTGAGCTTCCACAGACATTATATAATCGAGCTATATCCATTTACAATGTACGACTACCGTTCAATCACACTCCGGCGAAGTGGTGACTCAGCATAACACCTCTGCCACAGGCTAATTTGCATATCACGTGACCGAACCTTTCTCTTGTTGTAAACAAACGCGCTTTTTCAGAAATCAGTATAGAACGGACTAATGCAAGTAGTTGGGGGCGCTTTACATATTGTTTCGCATAATTTTATAGATATACTACTACAACTGCGACAGTGAGTTGCATGACAATATATATTTAAACATCAAAGTGACCGTATCGCTAGCTCTCCGATGGGCTTCGATGACAGCACGTGGAGCCGTACAACCAATGTAAACATAGGATAACTACGCAAACACAAGTAGATGTTCACGTATTAGGATACTTTCATATTGAACCGTTACCATTCTTTGACATTTGTTTATGAAAATGTGTAGACTTGTCAAACATGAAACGGATGAAAAGCATATGCAATATCTTGAATGGACTCCGAAAGATGTGAAGAATCGTCACATGGCGCTGGCCTGTGGCAGAGGTACTATGCTGGCTGGCTGCTGGCCGCATGGAACTCTGGGTAGGAGAGTGCCGTTCAATAGATCGAGGGTCCCAATGAGCGTGACGCACCCGACTACTTTCGCACCTTCCAATTTGATTTAACGTAAAAGGATAAGCGTGGTGAAATGAAGCCAGTTTAAACTATCTGGACAGATATCTAGACTAACTTGGGTGTTTATTTTCACGCAAGGCCGTAGTTACCTTTTTTTGACAGGGGGGGGGGGGGCTCCCGTTAGATACCGTTTTTACGGGACGAGTGGACTTTCTATGGTATCTGACCGAGCGAAAGCTGAAGAAATAAGTTGAAGAAATTCTTCCAAAAGGACCTTGAGCGTCGGTGCTGTTACGTTTGCAAACAGAACTGCAGGCGCATGTTGGTGATGCGTATGCATAGGAATGTCACCAATGCCCATATTTGGGCATATATCAATATTCATGCACAACCACATTTTGCAACCGGTTTCAGTTTGGTCTGTCAACGAACAAAAGTTGTAATGTATTTTCTCTTGCATACATATTTAACGTGGGTAAAAAATAAAATACCACACCCATTCTCGTTAGATACCGTTTCTACGAAACTCGCTCGGTCAGATACCATAGAAAGTCCACTCGTTTCGTAAAAATGGTATCTAACGAGAATGAGTGTAGTATTCTCTATATACTCAACCGGTTTCACGCATGTGATTTTCAAGACTACAGTTATTCCGTAACGATGTTTTGACGTCACAGTGCACTCTAACATAGTATGACGTCATAGTGCAGTCTAACTTTGTGACGTCACAATAAGACAGGCGTAAGACGATAGGGCAGGCGTACGACACATACAGAAATAAGTATTGTAGTGGCAGTAAAATGTACAATACATGTAATTGTATAAAATAATTCAATTATTTCAGGCCATTTAATTTTGGTTTGAAGGTATCAATAAAATAACTTTCTTTTATCTTTCTCAATGCATCATTGTCACATTTGTAAAACGGGAATATCACAAAATTTGGTGTTTTATTCCCAACACACTGATCAATGTGTTGACTGAGTGGGATACACCGGCAAGAGGGGTCCCTTATTTGTTGTCGGTGGACCCGCACTCTCGCTCTTAAGGTGTCCCCTGTCTGTCCAATGTATTCGGCCTTGCATCCAGCACATTGTGTGACATAAATCAAGTTTTTTGAAGCACAATTCATATTTTGACGGACATAGAAAGTTTTTCCGTCTTTGAATGTAAAAGAACAACATTGTAAAACATGACATCTTCCCGAGGCAAGTGAGTTAACCGACTACAAAAGTCCAGTTTCCACCCTTGCCGAACTAGGCTGGTATTATGGAGTTACATTTTGGCTGGACTAACGAGTATATGCATAGTCCAATCAAAATCGCGCACTGAAATCGAAATCCGGTTCGTAAAGTGTCATGCAGATTTCGGTCGACTGCAGGATTTGCAAAGCATGCGCACCGCTAACTCGTTGTCAACAGATATTTTCTTAATCTTTTCATGCTTTTTATCAAGGTGCTCACGTGTTTGATGCACTTCGCGATGTAAGACTCGTTTTATCACAATATATAGATGTTGATTATCAATCAGATCGTCTTGACTGGGCGCCACCGTTTTGTTTGAAGCAAATGCAAGTGATACGAGAGGTGGAATCTGATTGGTCAATAGGAGAGGCATAGAAAGGACATAACTTGTAATAGCCACTGGTGGCGCTACGATCGAGCCCAGGAATTCCAGCCTAGTTCGGCAAGGGTGGAAACTCGACTTTTAAAGTCAGTTAACTCTCTTGCCTTGGGAAGATGAAAACATGAGGGCAAGTACCACAATTTGGTCTGTTACACATTTGTACTTGTACTTGATATGCCTCACTGTGTCAGAAACAACCAACCCCTGTCTTCTGCATACTTATTATGCCCCCGCTATATATTTCGGCGGTATGTAGCGCTCCGTTTGGCCGGCCGTCTGTCCGCCCGTCCGTATATCTGTCCGTCAGTCACACTTTCGTTTCCGGAGCAGAATTGGAAAACCTTTAAATATGTTTTGACCAAAACATAGTACACGGATCAGTGAAGCACAGGAATGGTGTCTTTTGCTATAAGGTATATTTGATGGAAACGTGACTCATTTTGCTTATAAGCGGAATTTCGAAAAAAAGAACTTGAAAACTTTTAAGTATTTTTCAGTAAAACTTTATACATATTTCAGCCATTTTCTAGAAAGGTGCTGTTTGCTTTTAAGGATTTCTGAAACTTACACATATCAAGAGCAGAACTCAAACATTATTTGCTATTTGTCAAGAAACATTTTGACACACACCAACCTAAATTCCCAAGCAGAAATTGAAACTGGTTTATAACACTTGCAAGAACCAACATCCAAAGTCAACTGAAAATCTTTGACATTACAGTGGAAAAAGTGATGACTGCATCTGCCATTTATGTACCATCTTCCCAAGGCAAGAGAGTTAACTGACTTTAAAAGTCGAGTTTCCACCCTTGCCGAACTAGGCTGGAATTACTGAGCCTCGATCGTAGCGCCACCAGTGGCTATTACGAGTTATGTCCCTTCTATGCCTCTCCTGTGGACCAATCAGATTCCACCTCTCGTATCACCTGCATTTCCTTCAAACAAAAACAAACAAAACGGTGGCGCACAGTCAAGACGATCTGATCGATGATCAAGATATATATATATTGTGATAAAACGAGTCTTACATCGCGAAGTGCATCAAATCACGTGAGCATCTTGATTAAAAACATGAAAAGATTTAGAAAATATCTGTTGACGACTAGTTAGCGGTGCACATGCTTTGCAAATCCTGCAGTCGACCGAAATCTGCATGACAGTTTACGAACCAGATTTCGATTTCGGGGCGCGATTTTGATTGGACTATG